TATAGGCCCGGGGCCATCTGGGGCACGGATATTGCTGGGGTGTCGGAGGGGTTTTGCTCGGGAGGCTTCAGGCAGGCTGCTGAAGCGCTCTGTGGGACTGGTTTGTGGCCTGTGTGGAGAGGTCGCCAGTCGGGGGCTGTAAGGAACCCCGGATTTGAGCAATTCGCCCTGAGAGGACGCCCTAAGCTGTGCCCAGACACGGCCCGGTCCGTCACACCACCTGCTATGCTAGTCATAATAAATCTCTCCAATCCCAACCAACAGCCCACTCTATGAGAGCAGTAGCTACATCTACAACCTTCATGAGAGGAGTCCCATTGAGTGACATCTGTCGAATGGCTACCTGGTCATCTAATGCTACATTCATGAACCATTATGCGATCGTACAACACTTGGCCACTGATTCCACTGTCGCTTCAGCAGTACTGTTGATTACGGACAAACCTTAACTCCAGAGCACATCCTGAATACTACTGTGTGGTCACCTACAGTGGAGCACCCACGGGGACACCAATCGAAGAAAAAGGAGGCGAAGTTACTCACCTTGGTCCAGTAATGATATTTCTTTGAGATGTGTGTCCCTGTGAGTGCTCCATGTCCCGCCCTCCTCTCCGCTCTGGAGCTTTGTCTCTTTTTTTTCATTGCAATTAACCGAGTGGTGAGAGGAACTGGCTGGAGCTAGACCGCGCGCAACGATCAAAGGGCACGAGCAGCGCGAGATGCTGACCGCACATGTGCAGTCCGGCTGACTAAGGCTATTGAAAATCGCCAACCTGTGGTGCTGGGATGAGCCCAATACCTACAGTGGAGCACCCACAGGGACACACATCTCGAAGAAACATTGTTACTGCACTAAGGTGAGTAACTTCGTCTTTCTTTAGCTTTATCCAAGAGAATTTAGTAATTAATTAAACTGAATTGGTATCCACAAATGTATTAAAACATGCTGTGGTAGAAGTTGTTCTCGACAATAATGTGAATATAGAATGAGGAAAGATACATGTTCATATCGTTCATGAAGAAAATTATATGGCTTTATTAAGAATGGTTGTAAATTTACTATGTTAATATGTAACCGTGACAATATTCTTTCTTAAAGAGTGCTATCATATGCAAAAAATGTATTTTGTTTTCCTTTTAGGATTTTCTGGAATGTGCCAATGAATGCTGTGTTATAAATAATGTCCAGCCTGTTAAAGTTTTTATTGAGAAAATGATACAGACATATGAAATGATGATTGTTAGACATGGGTAAGATTGCCAGAACCTGTTTCACAAGTAGTTATGTTTTGTGTAGTAGGCAATAAAGAATGTTTATGGAAATAGACTAAGAAATTATTTCCACTTTAAAGAAAGACAAACAATGATTATTTGAATCAAATATAGAAAACGCAACAGTAACTACATACTGCAGAATGTTTATATTGGTACCTTGGGATATCTTAATTTTTATTGCAGATTTATTGCCCAAGAAAGTGGTATCTCTGAAGCCAGGTGTATTTGATTCTGCAGTCCCAATGCTCCCCTTTGAATTTGATAGCAGGCTTTGCTTGTTTAATCATTTCAGATTGGACACAAGTTGTGGAGAGGAGCTGTAACTGTAAAAGCTTGTCTGTATTAAAATATTAGCCAACCAGTTCTCTGCCATTTTAATGCCTGCCTTTTTCTTGATCAGCAAACATGTGGTGGTAATACGTGTGTACTACCTCACAAGAAACATATACAGTACTCAGTGCTGAAGTATGGCTTTGCATATCCAAAACGCTCTGCAAAAACATTAACTAGCGAATCCTTTAAAATACCCCAAAATGGTATGAAATAAACAAATTTGTTTTGAATTGTGATTGAAAATAACTTGATTTATGTTTTAGTGCAAATTCCTTATCTATCTTTGTGTTCTAGAATTTTATGATAACCTTTCCCTAGAAAAGAAATAAAACTAGAGAGTGTTTTAAGCCCAATTTTGCACTGTACTGTAAATGTACTAAATAAATGTGCAAATCCCTGCTGCTGCATAGAGTCCAGTTGGGTGATCAAATATATGCAGTTGCATGAGCAAATCAAGTATTTGCATACACAAATTACCATTTATACTCCTTAAATGGTTATTTTGGATATATAAAATACCTGATTTATGTGGGTAACATTGTAAACATGCAAAATGCACATACACTTTTGTATCGACCTTCTAAAAACATAATTCCTAATGAGTGATGTAATACATTTCTAACTGTAATTTTTGCTACATAAGGAATCCGATATAGCAAAATGCTTAAGTATGTGTTTAATTTTAAGCATGACTAGTCCATATTGAGGCCAATCAACTGGATCAGTACCATAAAGTCTATATTTGAGAGTGCTGAGATTTTTAATATTTTTCTTTTATCTATAGCTTTATGCTTGTTGGAGAACCTTTTTCTGGGAAGACAAAAGTTCTGCAGGTGTTGGCAGATACACTAACCCTTATGAATGAACGTGGATATGGTGAAGAAGAAAAAGTAATTTTTAGAACTGTAAATCCAAAATCCATTACTATGGGTCAACTCTTTGGACAATTTGATATGATATCCCATGAGGTATTGTGTTTCATATGTCTATTTAAAAAAATATTGTATAGCAATTGGTCATTTTCCTTCATTTGGTTATGCTTGTAAAATCCTGTTGGCATTGATTGCTTTGCATAGCTGTATATATATATATATCTTTGCTGAAGGGTGCTCTTATTCAGATGTTATCTCTAACTCCTTCGTATCCACACACACACACTTCTCTCAACTAAGTTTGGTGATGATGTAAACCTAGGCTAGCTGGCCTGACTGGGGTATAGACTAGAACCTGTCACTTACATTGGTAATCTGCCTACTCTGCACTGAGGATGCACGCTAAATCAAGTGTTGATTGCTTCCCATACTCTTCCATGATTTCCAATGGTATGCCAAGAAGGACAGACAAGTTCTTCTGCAGGTGATGTTCCTGTGGGTGCTCCAGTATTGGTGATGGGATGTCCCAGAGCCACAGACTGGAGCTTTTTTGAGCAGTTGTCAGCGGGCCGCACATGCATGGGGAACACCTCGCGCCACTCCTGCTTTGGTGCCCCGCGTGCATTGCCTGACCGCCCCCCCTGAAAGGAGCTCTTTGTTCTCTTCAGCCTTTCATTCTCCTCACGGAGATAGTCTAGATATCCTTACCTGATTCGTGGAAAATAGAAATTTCTTGTTGGCTCCTAACAGGATTGCTGCAGTGCCAGCATACTTCAAACAGTCATATAGCACTTTTACCCTCCGCTCTCTCCCCTTGTTTAAAAAAAACAAAGAAAAAGAAAAAAACCCTGAAAAGACAAAGAGGGAGGCAAAAGAAGATAAGAAGTGTAAACTGGCAAACTTGGCAATTGGCATTTCAACAATGCTTGAGCCTTGCACAGACTCCATAATGCCAGGCTCACCAGGCTTTAAGAAATGTGAGACATGCCGTGAGCCAATGCCTTTCTCAGACAAACATTCAGCTGCTTAGGGGAAGCTCATGTACCCCCAAAATGTGATCGCTGCTGCAGCTTCACTGCCGGAGCTAGAAAACACAGGGAGCTCTAGCTCCACATGAACTTATTTGAGAAAGGTATTCAGCCCAATGAGGACTTTCAATCCTCTCTGCCACCAGGACAGGCTCCTAGGAAAAGGGCTGCCTCCCTGCTACCTCATAAGTGGTCGAAAAAGAGACTCTCCCCAACAAGATCATTGTCCCCCACCCCGTCTCCCAGGGTGAGCAAAGGGGACACACTGGACACCATGGAGCCTAGGTCACAGACTGACACCTATACTGTAGCATCTCATACAGCCTTGGAACTGATGAGATCAGCATCTGCACCAGAGGGCTCTAATCGGCAAGCGCCCACACTGGTGCCGGCGATATTTAAAGATGTGGCACCACCAGCTAAATGGATCGCACACAGAGGGCACATACTGAACCCCAGCTTATAAGCACCTGAGTCAATGCTGCCCCATACAGGGATCCCAGCATCGACACATTCTGTTCACCAGAATGGGAGCCAGGCATATCACATCTCACTGGCACCCGAGATAAGCAGCAGACAGCACACTTCTCCTTCTTCCTTCAGGGAGGCTTCCCCGATGCCATAATCACCATGCACCTTCCTATGATATATGAGGCTTCCCGTACTTTCTGAGCATGGTGCCTTTGCTGACAACAACCAGAGGAGTGTTTTCTCATCACAGCTCTCCTCCCCTACTACATCTCTACTACCATCGAGACAGATCATGACACCCATACTCAGAATGTCCATATCCTCCACCCCACTACCCTCCCTGCTGGTCGCCATGGGAGCACTAAGGTACCTGTACAAGACGGTCCACAACTCCATCTGTTCTGGCAATGAAACCTCCTTCACCCTTGCCCTCATACCTATCTTATCTTATCTTATCTTATCTTATGGGATCCCTAGACCTATTTGGAGGAAATGTATACTCTTCGGCTACACTATAGCTAAGATTTGCTAACTATTCTGCATTGCTAGTGAAATGTGATTTGAATAACTATTCCAAAATTCTGAGCTCATGGAATACCTCCCACACTCTAAAAAACCCATACACAAATCAATTATTCATGAAGGACAAGTCATTAAGCACTTTTGTCATTTCTAAGTTTCCTGTTACTGTTTCTCCCTCTTCACTGAGCAGTGGGCCTATCCTGTCCTGGGTCTTCCTCTTGCTTCTAATATATTTATACAATGTCTTCTTGTTTCCCTTTATGTCTGCAGCTAGTTTGAGCTCATTTTGTGCCTATGCCTTTCTAATCTTGCCCCTGCACACCTGTATTGTTTGCTTATAATGCATCCTTTGTAATTTGTCCTAGTTTCCACTTTTTATGACTCCTTTTTAATTTTTAGATCATGCAAGATCTCTTGGTTAAGCCAAAGTGGTCTTTTGGCATACTTTCTATCTTTCCTATGCAACGGAATAGCTTGTTTTGGGGCCCTTAATAGTGCCCCTTGAAAAACTGCCAGCTCGCTTCAGTTTTTTTCCCCTTAGTCTTGCTTCCCATGGGACCTTACCTACCAGCTCTCTAAGCTTACCAAAATCTGCCTTCCTGAAATCCATTCTCTGTTTTGCTGTTCTCCCTTCTACCATCCTTAGAATCGTGAACTCTATGATTTCATGATCACTTTCACCCAAGCTGCCTTCCACTTTCAAATTCTCAGCCAGTTCCTCTCTATTTGTTAAAATCAGATCTAGAACAGCTTTCTCTCAGTAGCTTTTTCAACGTACTGAAATAAAAAGTTGTCTTCAATGCAGTCCAAGAACTTATTGTATAGTCTGTGCCCCACTGTGTTAGTTTCCCAACATATGTCTGGATAGTTGAAATCTCCCATCACCACCAAATCCTGTGCTGTGGATGATTTTGTTAGTTGTTTAAAAAAAGCCTCATTTTCCTCCTCCACCTGGATAGTAGTTGACCCCTAGCATGACATCACCTTTGTTTTTTACCCCTTTTAGCTTAACCCAGAGACTCTCATCACATCTGTCTCCTACATCCATCTCCACCTCAGTCCAAGTGTATACATTTTTAATATATAAGGCAACACCTCCTCCCTTTTTTCCCCACTTATCCTTCCTGAGTAAGCTGTACCCTTCTATACTAATATTCCAATCATGTGTATTATCCCATCAAGTTGCTGTGATATCAATGATGTCATAGTTGTGTTTATTTATTAGCACTTCGAGCTCTTCCTGCTTATTACCCATACTTCTTGCATCTAAGATGCTGACTTTATCTTGCCTCCTAGTTCTGCCTTGTTCCTTCTTTTTCTCTGCTATTATAGCCCACACTCCCTCCCATTTCCAACTCATCTCCTAGGTCTCCATGTTCTTCACTTACCTGTGGGCTTTGGTCACCTGCCCCCATCGAGCCTAGTTTAAAGCCCTCCTCACTAGGTTAGCCAGTCTGCATCCAAATACAGTCTTCCCTTTTCTTGAAAGGTGATCCCCATTGCTGCTTAGCAGTCCTTCCTGGAATAGCATCCCATGGTTGAGGAAACCAAAGCTCTCCTGGCGACACCATCTTTGCAGCCAGGCATTCACCTCCAAGATGCATCTGTCTCTGCCTAGGCCCCTACCTTTTGTCAGCCGATGGTCAGGGCAGTGCATGTGTGTGTTACACCCGAGTCTTCAGCTGCTGAGACACAAGGTCCCATCGCAGTGGGCAGTCTAGGTGAGACTGACGGGTGCCCTGAGAAGAGTTTAACATCCATGACTTTACTGCTAGGACCGGGGTCCCGTCGCAGAGGGCAGCCAAGATGCCCCGAGTTTATAGGAAGAGCTTATTACATCTCAGATTTCAGCTGCTAAGATACAGGATCCCTTCGCAGCGGGCAGTCTAGGGAAGACTGAGAGATGCCCCAACGGATCTATCACCTGGGAGTGACACAATCCAAAACGCCCAAGCTCTTCCTATACCTGTCCCTTATGACCAGCTGAAGTTCTTTTAAATTGTGCTTGGTTCTGTTACAGCAACTGAAGGAGTCAGGTTAAAGCTTAAACAGTTACATGTTTATTAAAGAAGCTTATAAATCATATGGTTACAATGGCTATTGCTCTATTTCTTAACTGCTAGCAAATATAGATCTTAAAAATGGTTACAAAGAAAATAAAGATAGAAAATAGAAATAATGGTACCAAGTGACAGCTTAATCTTTAAAG